AATGAATTTAAAATTACTTTTTTTTTTTGTGCTCGCTTTCCCCCAACTTTAGAACCTGGCTATACCACTGCTGAGCAGACAATAAGAAACAATCAAGTTTCTTATTGAAAGCTTCTAGTATTGCTCGAGTCATGTTTCTTATATTTGTTTGTAGAAGGTTGATGTCATAAGCCTTCCGTATTAACAATGCCATCCCTAATGAAGTCGATGGCACCTCGACTTAACACTGGATTTATTTTACAATTCCTACCATCTCCCTAAAGTACAGGTGTATGTTGTAATTTCATTATACAGGCTTGGAACCTGAGTATTTTCCGTGTGCATGTTTGAGCAAAATCTCCCTCATCTTTATTCCAAGGAGTACAGTTTGAGTACTTTCGGGTGGTCCCAGAAGTGTTAAGGGTTTCACCAATTCTATGCGCCTAGTAAAGGATTTCCAAATATTTTCTAGCTCTGCAATCTTGCCTGCCTTGAACGGGAATGTGAGGTCCCATTATATTCTATTTAAAATAACACGTGCTGATATGTATCATAACTGATAAGGCATCCCTTGTAATGAGTATTATCCATTATTTTTTTTCTGGCTGTTGCTGTTTACTTTGTTATGCTCTAAATATTAGGTCTTCTGACATAAGTATTCCGAGATCTTTGGCTTGGTTACTCCTTTCAATGAGATTTAAATGATTCTTGTATCCTGTATGCCACTTGAGTTTTTTTTTTTTTCCTTGTACAAAAGTATATAACTGAAATTTGTTACTGTTGAATGTCATTGTTTTCTTACCTGTTGGGAAATTTTGTTGACATTATGATTACAATTTTGCTATCTTCCATCAAGGCAAATTTTATAAATATTTTTATGTCGTCAGCAAAAGATGACATGAATCTGTGCATTACATTCCTGTCTATGTCATTTATGATAATGAGAGAGTAATGGTATAAAGACTGTACCTTTGGGACCATGCGTTATACCGTACTCAAGCTTGATTTTGATTTAAAGACAAGTGACTCTCAATGTCATCAAAGGAGTCTGATTTTATGACTACTATTTTACAATAGCCCAAGGCAGACCAACACATTGTCAATTTCTATACTTATTTTTGGAGTTGTCAGTTGCTTGTCTAATTTTTAGGCACAGTATTGTAACATTGTATGCATATTGGCAATACTAAATGCTAGGCATTGTTGTAATTGGTAGATTGGTCAATGTTTTAAGTTCAACCGTTTCTATATTATAATCGAGATTAACTGTCAGAAGCAGAATAACAATTTGTTAATTAAGATATTACAAAACAGTCTTGTTTTGCAATTCATTTGAGTGGCAAACCCTTATATGAGCAATACAGTAGGTGCAGTACTGTATTAACAAATTGGTTTAGCTTATAAATATATTAAATAACAGCACTGTACAGTACTGTACTGTACTTAAATATATATTTTAAAGTAGCAGTAGTCATATGAAAGGATTTATAAAATGTTTACTAAACTTGCAAAGCACAGGTAGTATTAGTCACACTCACAATAACAAATGTATATACACAGTATATAAATCCCCATTGTACTGTAATATTAATAAGAGTATCACTCCTTGACTTTCACACACAGCATTGCATTATAGAAAGACTAAAGCATTGTTACCTAACTGTTCTTACAAGCAGAGAGCTAAACTCATAGTGTCCCATCTTCATATATTTTGTCACAAATTATTAATTGGAAGCCTTATTAGTAAACTTAACAGAAGCCACATCGTGTGAAACAGAAAACAAAACTTGAGAAAGCATAGAAATTTGCAAGTTGATTAATACCAGAAGTGAGAGGACTCGGCTATGAGGAAAGGCTAAGGGAATTTAACCTCACAGAGAAAAGAAAAAACAAGCGAGGTGTGAACAATGCATACATATACCGAGGTGAAGACAATGTAGGCAAGAACAGCCTATTTAATATGAAAGTGGGACAATGGGAAGTAAGTTGAAGGTTGATATGCAATCAAGTCGTAAAGATGCAAGGAAATTCTCGTACCCTGTACTGTCGAAAAGTGGAATGCCCTAAAAGAGGATGTTATCAGAGCCACTTCCATCACAACTTGAGGAAAAAGTATGACAAAACTTTGAATGTCGAGAAAGGTATTTAGCATGCCAGGCTAGAGGGTAGGGAATATAAAGTTAGATCTCTCTCTCTCCTAGCCACTGATAGTACGGTAAGCACAAACTTGAGTTTGTTCCACTCCTTAATTATGCTAAAAAAAAAAATTGGTTTTTGTATTTTTCTATTTTGTCTTCGTTTTCTTATTTTATTTATGTCTAGTTCCAGATACTTAATCTTGTTTTGGCATATTCCTTTACAAATCTGTATGTGGCTACCTATCTGCTCTTTGTTGTGTCCTCCAGTTGTTGTAGTGTCTAGCATACTACAACTCTCTCCATAATGCCTCTCTCTTTAGTCGTGAGAACCACTGTCATTTTTCATTTGTTTTTTAAGTGGAGATGCCTTACTGCTGTTGCACTCAGCATTCTAACTTAGATTTTATATTAGTAATAAATAATTTCTGAAGCATACAGGTATCTCTATCCATGTATTTAAAGGCTATCCTCAGATCTCCCAATGTAGTACCACAAACGATTCTCATACTACCGCTTTTATGTGGTCTTCAGGCGATGGATTGCCTGTTACGATCCTCTTTTAGTCCTTCACCTTGTCTGATTTATTCATGGTTTTGCCACACCACTTACATGTCTTTATACAATCTGTTCATATTTTGTCTCATTTCAATTACATTACATTTTGACAATTTCACCGCCTATCACTATGTGAAGCAATCAATGCTGTATTCCCCGAATTATAAGGTTAAGAGAAGTGTTAGGGGAACCATCTTTCCTGAATTTCTTCTTACAAAAGAAAAAACAACCTTGTTTTCTTTTTAAATATCTACCAGTATATCCTTTCACTATACTGTGCAATTTTCCCTTTTTCTCCAAGCTAATGACTCCTTGCCCTATAAAGATGGGTCATGGTTAAATGATGATGAATAAACAGCATTTTTTTTACTCTATTTGTTCAGTTTGTCTTGGTCTATCTTATGCAAATTTGAAGTTGGTTCGTCAAGTTGACCGAGTTAATCTCCTCGGCAGTATCTGCCATTTACTCATTTGCAAACAAGATAGCGGCAGAGTTTAATTTGTTATTTCTGACCCATTTAAAAAATCCAATGATTAACAGCAATGCTTAAAGTAGATCATTAAAGACTGTAACAAGTTGATTTATATATCAGAAAAATATTTAAATGACTAGTATTAGTTCTAGAATCTGATAAAATGGGTGTCTATCTTTCATCGTGATTTTAGTCTCTCATAATGTTTATTTTACTCTTTACAAGATCATTTGATAGTTTATCACTATCCATTATTTGAATTATATTACCTTTGTCATGTTCATGTGTACCCTTGTGTTTTTTTCATCTAACATTATACATACAACCTATGCATACATGTTCATGCATTGTTCATATAAGCAAATAGCAGACAGTGGTTACAAAAAATGCATAGACTAAAATTCACTTTAGTATGCATATACTGCCCATTATAATGGGAAAGTAAAAACAAGCAACAACAAAAATAATATATGTGAAGAAATGCATGAGGGTTGTAAAAATGTCTGATGTTTTGTCAGCCTTCTAATGATTGGCCCCATGACAGTGGTAAAAACATTACTAACAGTTAAATAAAAAGATCTCATGTGTTTCCATGGGCAATCAAGGTCAACTAATTTTTAAGTACAGTACTTCCTTGGTCACATTTATTATAATATATTGTACATGAATCTACATACTGCACTGTATAAGGAACACTGTAAAAAAATATAAAATGCAAACTCGATTGAGCTTTTATATTTTAACATTGTCAGTTACGGTTAGTCATTGCTTTAATGACAGAACTTGACAAAAATTAGTGCATACAATACAATTCCAGCAAAAATATTGAGCATTTAATGTAATAAAACATGCTTTTCTGGTGGGCCCTCACTATCACCTTGAACTAAGCACTTGTCCAGCCATACCTCGTGAAGATGCACTAGGCCTCCAAGATCCACCCTTACTTACCTGAAGGCCCAGCTGGAAACAACAGACGAGGGACCAAGGTCAGAGGCAGAAGCCCAAGACCCCTGCCAAAAAGAACAGTACACCACCCCTGATGACTGGGACTAGCTAAAAATGCAAGAATCTCAGCCCAGGGAACAGCCAGCAGAGGTGGCCCCTCAATGAACACCCAAAATTAAAAGCAAGGATCCACTTTGGCAGCAGAGACTGCCACACCTGGAAAGTGAGGTAAAGACACACTAGGGAATCACAGAACCTAAAAAATGCTAGGGCCAATATGAAAAGAGAGATGGACTCAAAGTCACCGACACATATCAGAGGCTAAGTGCCACTTCCACAAAGGCAAGGGCTAACAGCTTCCATCATAGGGCACAAACCTACTGCAACTCCCACAAGAGAACAGGCATGCAGCAGCCCATCACCAAGATGGGAGGAGGGTGGCCCTGCATCAATAGGTGGCAAGACTGTGGCAACTGTTAAACTGCAGAATCAGGAACAAACTGACTTGGAAGCCGAACAACCAGATCGAGTGATGAGAAACCAGTCACCCTGACCACCACACAAGCACGAAGACATGCCAGGGAAGCATCTTGGCTAAACAAAACCAGATTGTGAACACCCAGAGGGAAAGAGGCATAGGCAGCCATGGAAAGGCTGGCAGGCATCTTCTGTCAAGGTGACAGAAGAGTAAGGGAAGACATGATCACTACCTACAAAATCCCCATATGAAATGACAGGGTTGAAAAGGATAAACTATTTAACACGGGTGGTATGCGAATAAGGGGACACAGGTGGAAACTGAGTACCCAAATGAGCCACAGGGATGTTAAAAAGAACGTTTTCAGTGTCAGAGTAGTTAACAGATGGAATGCACTAGGAAATGATGTGGTGGAGGCTGACTCCTTACACAGTTTCAAATGTAGATATGATAGAGCCCAGTAGGCTCAGGAATCTGTACACCAGTTGATCGACAGTTGAGAGGCAAACGGTACCAAAGAGCCAGAGCTCAAACCCCACAAGCACAACTAGGCGAGTACAAGAAGAATCACCCAATTGACCCAAGAACACAGCAAAAGTGCCCATCCTCAACACCTAAAAGAACAAGGGCAGGCACAATCGAACACTAGCAGACAGCTAACTACTACATGTTCCAATATCAACAGGCCTTGTAGAGGAGAAAAGCAGTGTGCTACCCAGAAGGAATATAACTCAAGAGAAGTCAACTAACAGACGATGAACCCAAATCCCTCAGCAAACATCACTACTGGGACAAGGGAAACACAAACTGACTACCAAGGAAGGGGACTCTTGTCTGCAGTTTGAGCAAAATTAAAGCTAGAGCACATACTGTAGGTAACACTAATCAATCATGAAAGAGAAAAGAAAATGACAAAGCAAAAGTGCTTGGCAGAATGGCAGTTCCACAGAGAATCAACACAACTTGGTTTGCTTAAGCATAAAACAGAGGATGGGCTTTCTCAAAAGGATCAATACCCCCCTTCTGCTGTAACCAGGCGAGTAAGAGAGGGAGAAAGGCTAGCTGTAACTCCAGGTTTCCTTGCCACTCAATTTGGTGGAGATTAAGCACATCATGGTTAGGAAATTTGCACCGTGACAACGATAATTTGCTTCATTCACTTTGGATACCAATATTTTGCAGTTGTTTTGTTGTTTATACATTCCAATGGGTTTTTCATCAATTTTGACTATTTTTGATCCCCAACCTCTCACTGACAACCAGATTCTGGTCATGGCTCCAGATAGGCATGGGAGAGTCTCAAGAGCCCTTGTGAATCTCCTTAAACCATGGCTGGTATAGGGGCTCTCTCAAAGATCAGACCTCTTACTTTTTACCATTAGGCTATTCATGCGAACACATTTACCTATTATTTTGTTAAGTAATAAAGCGGACAAAGATACAAATTAGTTAATAAATGTTATCTTTCCAAACACGCAAGAGTTGCACTTGGTTCACGTACTCTCACAAGAATAGAATGTTGCATTCAAAATACGTTAAGTATATTGTACAGTAGTAGTAATTCCAGAGCCGAGAATACAAAATTCTGCTGGACTTTAGATCGTTTATGAAAGCTAAATTCATATAACCTATTACAACTATCATTAGTTCCTAGTAAACAACCTTGACTACAGTATAAAGAAATAACTTTACAAGAAATACAGCATAAAGAATAACAATCGTGTTAAAGCAATGGGGAAAAGATTTTTAAATCCAACTGAGGTCAATAAACACATTAACTTCAACTTTAAAACATTTGGCATAGAAAACCGTGTCTTATAACAAAACTCAATCCTCACCTGTTGCACACACCAAAAATCTGATATATACAGTACATTATTAAAGAATAACTATATGATATTTAATAATGACTTAACTTCATAAAGATATGAGCACAATTAATAGGTAAGTAGAATCTTATTGATTATAGGAGACCTGCACATAGGACATATTAGAAGTGGAGTGCAGCACTTGGCACAAGCACAAACATGACCACACGGTAAAAATACAACCTCACATATTGAATTTAAGCATATCACACACTCTGCTTCAACAAACTGTCCTTCAACTGGCGGAGCAGTTGCCGCCGTCTCTCCACCTTCCTCAACTGGGGCACTTGGTGCTTCTTTCTCGTCAGCCATCTCGGGGGCTGAGGGAGCAAAAGGCAAGTCTTCCTCTACTGGAGCAGAAGGTGTTTGGTTTTCTAACTTTGAGGCAGCTAAATGATTTTGCAAAGCACGCTGTAAACTGCGATAGGTTGCTGGTCCAATACCCATTCCTGATGCATCCTCCTCTGTCATATCCATCAGAGCTGAGAAAGTAACTGAATATTGTGCAAACACTGGTGACAAATCCATAGCATTAGCAGCAGAAAGAATTTCCCGTACTTTAGGTTCTAGTTGGGCTTCAGCTTCAGCCAATCCAGCAGGTTTCATAGACAGCAATCGCTGATATTGGACTAGCCAAAATTCTTCTTCTGCCACATCTGAAGTTCGAGATTCTTCAAGCTGAGCAATCCATGCCATCAACTGAGCTTCACGCTCACTCTTCTCCATCAAGAGCGATTTTAATAAATCAACTAAGGTAGCACGTTGTTCTAACATTGTACTTGACCCATACTTAATGCCATGCTTCCTTTTCCGCACTTCCATTGAAGAGAGGCGATATAACTCGTATTCAATCTGGCCAATCTGTAATCCATAAGTGCCTTGTATAATTATGCAATAAAAATTCAAATACCTATACATAAAAATGTCAAGGGTATATAAAAATTAAATGCTGAAATATAAAAATAACTAAACAGTATTGTATATAAAATTGCAAAATCTCAAATTAAAACTTATTTTATCTACTTTATAAGTTACTTTATAAAATGTTCCTTATGCGTCCCATTCACTCATACCTCATATCAATTGCACAGAAGTCCCAAACAATTCTACAACTCTATTTAAAAGAAAAATACTTTGGGCAATCCTCTTGCAGGGTTTTTCTGCTAATCTGAATCAATATTCTCTGGCTCCATGAACTTTATGTATTTTACTACTTAACATTATCTTAGTAAGGATACATAAACAAAATACGAGTCTGCTCCTTACCTGTCTGAGAATATTATTTCGCTGAAGGTCTGATTTGAGTAGCAGTAGTCTAAAAGCAGCGGCTTGACACTCTTCATCCTTAAGTAAAGTTGAAGCCCATTCCTCTTGATCAGCTAAGCGGGATGTCAGTACGCCTTTGAGATGAGAGTCAACCAGATCGGCCTCCTCTAGTAGAGCACAAACTCGAGCCCCTTGCTCCTCTTGCACTGCCAGTCGCCTTTGTTCTGCAGCTGCCTCTTCTACCAGCACAGCCTTCATGGCTGCAACTACTTCTGAATGCCGTAATTCAGAGGCTGCTTCCACAATACCCGAGAGTAAAGATTGCATTTCTGTCTCTTGATCTTGAAGCAAGCATAGGAACTCATCACTTCTTCTAGAAGCTGTAGAATTAACAAGTTCCTGAACAGCTGCAGCAGTCTCTTGCTCTGTGGTTGCCAAATCTTTTAATAAACTTTGTCGGTCCTTTTCCTTAGCTGTCACCAAGCCTTCCATCTCTAGGTCCATATTAGCTTGTTGGGTAGTTATGTCATAGATCAAAGATTCTTTGTTATTTGATGATGCTAGATATTTTTCCAGCTGTTCTGCTTGTTCAGCTCGAACGTTTTCTTCTATATTGTACTGTTCCTGCATTGCTTTAAGTTTCTTTCTCTCATATTCCATAGCTTCTACAGGAGTTTCGAAGATTCCCGCTAAAAGATGTTGTTTATTATTACTCATATCCTGTAACATATGAGCAAGCTGCTGCTGCTCTTTTGCTTGAAATTCTTCCTCTGCAGCCAACTGGGCTTTAACTTTTTCATCTTTTCTACACATGTAGTTACGTAATGCCTGATCACCTGCAGATGACTCCATTCTTGAATAGGCGTGTGGAGAGGCACACTCGGTAAGATCATCTTTTGCCTCACAAATTCCTTCATATGCAATTCCATGTTCCTCACAAAGATAACGCATAATTGCTTCTGTACCTTCTGCCACCACTGCAGCTGGTGGAGACTGTAGCTTGTCTGTGTCAATCTCTAGTTTATGAAGACTTTTTTGTAACTTACAAAACTCCTTTGGCAATACAGAGATGTTATTCCCAATAAGGGATAACACTTGCAATGTGGGCAAGGCACAGATGCATACAGGCACTTTGGACAATTTATTTGAGGATAAATAGAGCTCTTTTAACTTGGTTAGTTCACTTATTGACACGGGCAAAGTTTTAAGTTTATTGTTACCGAGCTTTAATATTCTGAGGTTCTTAAGCTTATTGACAGAATCGGGGAGATGAGCAAATTTATTATTAGTTAGATCTAAGACTTCTAATCCTTCTAATTCATGAAGTTTGCCTCCTTTTTCAAATGATGTTAATGAATTATCTTGTAACAGGAGGACTGTTTTTTGCAACAATCTACACATTACAAAAGTGTCTGGTGGAAGTTCAAGCATGGCACAGTCGCTGAGGTCATACACAGGCTCAGGATTTTGTTGGGCCATCACCACCTTCAGGCCCAACTTGGCCCGCCTATCTTTGTCACTCATGGTGGAAGGATTTTCCTTCTTAAACAAGCACCCAAATGGCATTCTGACATCACTTTCTCCCCTACTGTTACAGTAACTCTGATGGCCGTCATCACCTCAATAATTTACGAGCAAATCATGGTTAAAGATAATCTCACTACAGGTAAAATTTGTAAATTCTGCTGGCTATTTACTTTTTTTGCTATCAATTCCTGTGGGGGGAGAAATCTAACATTTAATAAAGTACACTCATAATTATTAGGTTATAATACAGATACAGTATTCCAACTGGAGCATAGTACAACACGAACACTGGAGTTTTACCATTTACAAATATAGGGCAGTTCAGTATTTCAAAATTGTCAGACTTGTCAAAAGAAAAGTCACTGGTATTTGACTACTGGTGCCCCTCAAAAAAATTCTGCCTGCACCAATACAGTGACCAAAAAAATTAAAAAATATATATATTGCAGGAACTTTTCAAAGATATACTGTGCTCCAAAACTAACTTAAATATGACATATCAAATATGAAACTGTTAGAACAAAAGGTTCATTAAGGGTAATAAGTGATTTGGCCACATTGTAGACAAACTGTGTACTATACCACAAGTACACAACTTGTACAGCATACAGTACAGTACATAACTACCACATTGTTATTATAGTTGTGTACTGTACTGTACCACAACTGGCATCTGGCTAACAAAATCAAATACAGTTCCAGGTATCTCCAAATCAATTAAAAATACCACAAACTAATGGCCAACACTTAATTTTGCATATTGATTTCAGAACTTAACAGTCTATGGTTCTCAAGGAATGAGCTAATGAACATGGGTGACAGCTGAAGTCAGTGAGAAATTGGATTCAGACGGAGAAATTGCATGAAAAAAAAAACTATGAAAGTACTATACTGTACTGCCTAAGCTCGATAATCTGAATAATATATGCGGCCCACCCCCATTCGAGTTGGCGGGACATTCAACTCTCCCTCCTAATAAAGAGTCGCATTTTGATGCATACTCCAAGGACAAAAATTTGTCATATGGTACTAGAAAATAGTAGTGGTGCCTAAAATTGACATACAGGGTACTGTCCCTTTTTCTATTTTAAGTCTTCTTATAGGTTAGGAGAGGGTATTTTAGCACGAAAGTTTCTTGACAAATCTTAGGACAGGCTGGGTCATTCGAGTTAGCCAAATTTTTTTGAAAGTCCAAAATGAACAAATTTAAATTTATTTGGGTTTTTGTTCACCAGAAATCTCGGTATTACTAATTTTTGAGTAGAGCAGGTAAAAACTCGAACTTTAATTTATTCGGATTACCCAAAGATTTAGCTTACTGGAATTCAGTAGTTTTCTGCCAAGCTCTTTTTGCCTTTTTTTTTTAATTAAATATGCAAATACCACATTTGCATACCGTATTTTCAATCGAGAACTATTCCTTGGTTCAGAGATTTTCTGATATGGAATTTCAGTGGTAGGCACAGTGCATCTGCTATTTCCTTTGTGACTTTGGATTGAATTCCATCCACACCTGAGGCTTTTGAGTCTTAATTTGTCAATGCTCTTCCCAATTGTGTCACACGTTATGGGTATATTCATTCTCTTCAACTCCAACAAACATTTAAGTGGGTAATGGGATATCATCTAATCTTTCTAATGTGAACACTGATGTAAAGTGAACACCGATGTGAACATTAACCTTACAGTCCCATTCTTACTCTTATTATTACACCTTCCCTCCATAACTTTTGCCTTGCTCTTATCTTCCTCTTAACATTTCCGTCTCACCTCTCTCTTACCTTATTTAATGCCCATGCCTCCCTCGTATCATCACAATCGACTTGATAATGGTCCAGGACGGACCAAAATGTCGTCGTGTCTTCAATTTCTGGTGTGGTTTGGTCAACATTTTTCAGCCACGTTATTATGACTTATCTGCACACCGATGTAAAGTATTCATTCCAAGTATCTGCTACTCTTTTCATCATCTATTATAACTTGGTTAGCCTCATCCTTTTAGGGTCCAACAGAGTCCTTTGTTTTGGTTTTATAGTACTGTACATCCTATATTGGCATAGAATGATTTTGGACCTTTCTTTATGTCTACATGAATGTTTTCTTCTGTAGTTTCTTTTTATTGACCAGATTTCCTGGGTTATTAAGATTATGCCAGCCTGTGTTATCTGGCTAAATCTCTGTTATCTTGATTTATATCAGGATATGGCAAAGTATTTCCAGATACTGAAATTACCCAGATGTGATAACCTAAATATATGGTTCAATGAGCTTAGGATAACCGAGCTCTAACCTAACCTAAACTAACATAACTAAGTTAGTAATTCATGTTCTTAATACTGTATAATAAAAATAATAATTCAAATAAACCAATTGGATTTTTTTTAAATAATGAAAATCACTGCCTATTAAGTACAACATATACAGTACACATACAACAAAATTTTATATATATATAATTATTATACAGGGTGTATATATAATAATAAGGATTATATTATCTTTGGATATTTTATATACAGTATATCCAAAGAATATAAATCTTTGCAAAAGCATGGTAAATTAGTCTTTGAAAATGTAATAATAAATATATATATTCCATCATATTGTGGGTTATGATCTAGTATACGAATTAACCTGAATTCAGCAGTGTTTGGGTTCTCTTAATTGAAGTATTTAAACAATTGTTTCAATTGTTTATTGAATTGAAACAAGTGTTTCATCAAAAGTTACTTTTCTAACATGTACATCTTCCTGTTCTCGGCAGGGCCACTAGAAATATGGTGGCCCTCAGGTAAATTCAGGTATATTTTCACACGACATTTAAATGTTATACTATATAATGCTTTAAGCATTAAACCGGTCAACTCACATATCGGGAATGGTTGAGGACCACAGGGCTAACAACAACACAAACCAGGCATGACATGGTGGATTTTAAAATAAAATAAAATGTTTATTTAGGTAAGGTACATACATACAATAAATTTTTACAAAGATTGGTTGACTTATAGGTAGAGCTAGTACATACAATGCCTAAAGCCACTATTACGCAAAGCGTTTCGGGCATAAATCGGGATTTTTCGGGATTTCATAGAAACGTTTAAAATACTGAACAATCTGGAGGATGTTGACCTGGAAAATTTCTTCAAAAGGTCAGGTGTAACACAAACAGGGAGAAACGGTTTAAAACTCAAGCCAGTGTAGGACTGAGAACAGGAGATGCTTTTTCACTCACAGGGTTTTTAACCCATGGAACTGCCTACCCACCAAAGCCGCAAATGCCAAAACTCTGCTAACTTTTAAAGTACAGTTGGAAAAACTAATAAGACAAATGGGGGGGGACCTTCAACAAGGCTTCCTGTCCTCATTGAGGCCACTAGTATTAGTGACTCTCGGGTAAATCCAGGTAAAGCATAATAAATAAAAGAAACACCATGCCCTTTCATTTAGAGAATTAAATGCACAACCGCTACTCTTATTAAATTGACTTGAAGAAATCTAAAGATAGGACAGGAGTTTGTTATATGTCAGTATATAGTTCTTCAGTACGTGGTCCTAATCACTGAAGGACCAGATAGACCAGCTCATAGTACACACGATCATTACACTATACATTCCACAAGTGGTTCTGCCTCGCAAGAGCAGAAATGTTAAATTCTAGTTTGTGATTATCATTTCTCTGGTACTGTCACTTAGTTTAGTTCATTTATTATGCACCCCATACCCATCTTGTGGACGGTAGTGGAAAGGGTTACAGAGGCACATAATGGGCTCAGGGACTGAAACCCACAGTTCATTTAGCTAAGCAAGTTACTGTCAGTGATAATGGGAGTTTAGCCTACCACACTAGGGTGAGGTAAGGCCGTCCCAGCCCCACGACCAGGCCTGGCACTCCTCCCTAAGCTTTACTACCAACAACAACAACAAACAAGCAAGCAGCGCACAGCTTAACACTGAAATTCCGGATGTATTCGCTTCTGAGGAACCAGTTTGAGGCACCTAAGGTGGTGGAGGTGGTGATAACGTGTGGTGGGGGGGGGGGGCCAGGGGGGGTCAGTGCCCCCACAGGTCATTCATCACCCCCCCCCCCACTACCGGGCCCTTCACTCGCGTTACCACTTACACACTCCTAGCTCACTTTTTTACACGCTTCCCCCGTACCCTTACACCCTCCCTAACCCACAGCATCCATCATCTTACCTGGTGTGGGCGGGTGTGTGGGCGTGTGGGCGGGGGCAGTGGGCGGGGTGGGCGTGGTGGGTGTAGAAGGCAGCAGTCTCCGTCAACTGTAAGGGGGCCCAGGCGCACTACGGACCCGCTCCCATGATCAATAGCCTTTTGCGGAAAACTTTGAAACACTGGTTAACTATATACTCGTGTAGTTTTACGCTCGTCGGAGACAACATACCTGTCAAGCTTATACGTGTTCCGGTAACTATGCAAGGTCAGGTCAAGACTGGTCAAGAGTCGTCTAACTATCGTGACTGACGGATTCCTGGATCAACGTTGAGGCTGTGTCACCGCCTGACGGGTTCTCAGCCTAAGGGGTCGCCAGTGAACGTTTTGTTTTTGCTCTCCATTGCGGACTCCAATCACTTGAGCTGGACGGTAGAGCGACGGTCTCGCTTCATGCAGATCAGCGTTCAATCACCCGACCGTCCAAGTGGTTGTGCACCATTCCTTCCCTCCGTCCCATCCTAAATCCTTATCCTGACCCCTTCCCAGTACTATATAGTCATCATGGCTTGGCGCTTTGTCCTGATAATTCCTTCCTTCCTTCTCCATTGCGGATTACGTTTAGCCGTAAGCCACATTAATTCAACTGCCTGGATGTTTGAGACGCCTGGCGCATATATCGCCATGCGATCACGGTGGCGTTAATAAGAACACTGTTTTTCCCAAAAACGGTGGGTTTTCTGAGTGGAAGAGAACGTATGTCTGGAAGCTGACTTTAACCGCCCCAAGCTGCGCGCGCATTGACCCGAGGTTATATAAACCGGGACGGAGACGGCGTGGCCCCTCTTCCCAAGTCGGTTTGTTCATGGTTGTGCTTCAGAGGTTGTTTGGTTCGTGCATGCTAGGTTTGTGGTTACACAACTGGTCGGGGTCCAGTTACACAACTGGTCGGGCTTCGGTTACACAACTGGTTGGGGTCCAGTTACACAACTGGTTGGGCTCTGGTTACATAACTGTTCGGGCTATGGGGGTGTCAATTGGGCTTCGGGTTGTGCATTGTCAGGCTTTGGGTTGTGCTTCAGAGGTTGTTTGGTTCGTGCATGCTAGGCTTGCGGTGATACAACTGGTCGGGCTCCGGTTACACAATTGGTCGAGCTCCGGTTAAATAACTGGTCGGGCTCCGGGGGTGTCACTTGGGCTGCGGGTTACCTTACCTTACCTTACCTTGAGGTGCTTCCGGGGCTTAGCGTCCCCGCGGCCCGGTCGTCGACCAGGCCTCCTGGTTGCTGGACTGATCAACCAGGCTGTTGGACGCAGCTGCTCGCAGCCTGACGTATGAGTCACAGCCTGATTGATCAGGTATCCTTTGGAGGTGCTTATCCAGTTCTCTCTTGAACACTGTGAGGGGATTGCCAGTTATGCCCCTTATGTGTAGCGGAAGCGTGTTGAACAGTCTCGGGCCTCTGATGTTGATAGAGTTCTCTCTCAGAGTACCTGTTGCACCTCCGCTTTTCAACGGGGTTATTCTGCACATCCTGCCATGTCTTCTGGTCTCATGTGATGTTATTTCTGTGTGCAGGTTTGGGACCAGCCCCTCTAATATTTTCCACGTGTAAATTATTATGTATCTCTCCCGCCTGCGCTCAAGGGAGTACAGATTTAGGCTCTTTAATCGGTCCCAATAGTTTAGGTGTTTTACTGAGTGGATTCTGGTCGTAAAGGATCTCTGCACGCTCTCCAGGTCAGCAATTTCTCCAGCTTTGAAAGGGGCTGTCATTGTGCAGCAGTACTCCACTCTAGAGAGCACAATCGTTTTTAAAAGTGTCATCATCGGTATAGCATCTCTAGTGTGAAAAGTTCTTGTTATCCAACCTGTCATTTTTTTTGCAGTTGTGACGGATACTTTATTGTGTTCTTTAAAGGTAAGGTCTTCCGACATGAGTACACCCAGATCCTTTACATTGCCTTTACGTTCTATGTTATGATTTGCCTGAGTTTTGTACGTGGTTTCCGTTTTTATATTTTCCTTTTTTCCATAGCGCATGAGCTGGAACTTATCTTCGTTAAACACCATATTATTTTCTGTAGCCCATAGAAAGACCTGATCTACATCTGACTGGAGGTTTGCCGTGTCCTCTATGTTGCCTACTCTCATGAAGATCCTAGTGTCATCTGCAAAGGATGATACAGTGCTATAGGTTGTGTTCTTGTCTATGTCCGATATGAGGATGAGAAAAAGTACTGGAGCAAGCACAGTACCCTGGGGGACTGAGCTCTTCACGGTTGATGGGCTGGATTTTATTTTGTTGACTATTACACATTGGGTTCTGTTGGTCAGGAAATTGTAGATCCATCTGCCTATTTTTCCGGTAATTCTTTTTGAACGCATTTTATGTGCAATAACACCATGGTCACATTTATCAAAAGCTTTTGCGAAATCTGTGTAAATTACATCAGCGTTTTGTTTGTCTTCCATAGCATCTAATGCCGTATCATAGTGGTCCAGCAACTGCGACAGGCAAGAGCGCCCTGTTCTGAAACCATGTTGTCCGTGGTTATGGAGATGCTGTGATTCCATGTATTTTGTGATCTTAGCACTCTCTCAAAAATTTTTATAATGTGCGATGTTAGTGCTATCGGTCTGTAATTTTTTGCCTCTGCCTTATTTCCTTCTTTATGAAGTGGTGCTATCTCTGCTGTTTTTAGTATATCAGGAATAACGCCAGTATCTAGGCTTTGTCTCCACAGAATGTGGAGGGCCTGCGATAATGGTTTTTTACAGTTCTTGATGAATATGGAGTTCCAAGAATCCGGGCCTGGTGCAGAGTGCATAGGCATACTGTTTATGGCTTCTTCAAAATCCAGTGGGGATAGGGTGACGTCTGATATATGATTTGATGTTGGTATCATATCCATGAAAAATTCATTTGGGTTATCAATCTTTAGTGCGTTTAATGGCTCACTAAAAACAGAGTCGTACTGCTTCTTCAGTAGCTCGCTCATTTCTTTGTTGTCATCGGTGAAAGTTCCATCTCCCTTTCGCAGGGGCCCGATACTAGATGTGTTTTTTTATTTTGATTTAGCATTGGAGAAAAAATATTTCGGATTTCTCTCTATTTCACCGATGGCCTTTTCCTCTCTTTGCCTCTCCTGGGTTTTGTATGATTCTTGTAGCTTGCGTTCAATTGTTTCTATTTCTTTACCTAACCTTCGCCGTTCTTGAGATAGGGTGCAACTCTCAAGTTGTTTCGCGATTCGTTTTCTTCGCCTATATAGGGAACGACGTTCCCGTTACAATCTGCATCTCTTCCTCTTTTTTCTTATGGGTATGGGGTTTGAACATATTTCTAGCGCTACTGAGCTTATTTTTTCCAGGCAATGGTTCAGGTTTGCATTTTCTAGCTGTTCTTCCCAGTTTATTTCTGTGAAGTCCTGGTTTATTTGCTCCCAGTTTATCTGTTTATTATTGAAGTTGAAGTAGCCCGTAGCGACCAACCGACACAGGGACCCTCTGCCTAAAAAATTATTTGAATGTCATATTGAAATTCCTAGCGTATAGCGCCAGGAGTGTGTAAATTAATATTTATATGCATTATAGGCCTTTCTAAAGTAATTTATAGATCTGAATATCATATATTGTCTAACAAACGAATTATTTAAGTTAATTATTTTATTTTATTTTTTTTTTAATATTTTAATTATGCCAGATACAAGTCTCATCAAAAAAAGACTTCTCATTTGAAGTCTCATTTCAAAACCACTATGTATCTAGTGCTATTATTTACTCCTTATCCATGGTTAAGATAGGTTAGGCTTCGTTAGGCTGTTTACGTTAATAAAAACGTGAAATATAAAATTCGAAAACAATTTAAGTATCCCCTACAATTTCATTTACAGAAAACCAAATTCTTCAGCCTGTTTGAAAGAAAACGAGTTAAACAGCCTATTTATATCTTAAACCAACGATTTATAAAACAATAAAGTATGAATTTTAGAATATTTTGTTTAAGAGGAAGGTTCTGTTGGTTAAACACGTAGATATTATCTAGATATTTGTGATGGAAAGAAAGAATATTATGGTTCCAATAATAGTTTACTTGTGAATTGCCATGAGATTAACAAGTGATGTACAGTACAGTATTTGTGTTACTCGCTCCATAAAAGTGCTTTGTTTTATACATTCTCTTCAAATTCATCTGTAAGTTCTCCTCTGGTGGCACCTTTTAGGCTTGTTTAATAGCCAAAGATTATAGTCGAGGAAGATTGACTAGGCGCCAATCCATAACTGTATGCCTGTGTTCACCCAGCAGTGAATCCTGGTTGTTAAATGATTTGGTGGGTTGTATTCAGGGAAAATTAAGATTAAGGGTCTCCACTATACATGCTAGTGGCTTTACAAGAATATAAGAACTCGTGTATACAGAGTATATAAAAAATAAAAAATATATAGTCTACATTATATATTTACTGTAAGCTTGGTAAATAAATAAATGTTATCACGTTCTAGTTTATTTATGAAGGTATCTACAACAGACTTGAGAATGGTCCAGGACGGACCGAAACGTCGTCGTCCCTTTACCTTCTAGTGTGTGGTCTGGTCAACTATCTACAACAATTTCTGATTATTTTATCAAGCACGCATATCTGGCTTCAGTAATAAACATGTTGCAGTATGATATCTCTCTTAAAAACTGTATCTTATTCATTATATTCATTTTCATTTGTTCTTCTTGTTGGGTTTTGTTTCCTTCATCTTCATATCACAAATCACCTCTTGATTTGTGATACAGTATTTCAAATATCATGTAAGGAATCAAATGGAATAAAGCTGCAAAGCCATATTCAAGGATATCATTTCACACCACCTATCTTGAGGTTATCTTGAGATGATTTCGGGGCTTTAGTGTCCCCGCGGCCCGGTCCTCGACCCCCAGGAAGCAGCCCGTGACAGCTAACACCCAGGTACCTATTTTACTGCTAGGTAACAGGGGCATAGGGTGAAAGAAACTCTGCCCATTGTTTCTCGCCGGCGCCTGGGATCGAACCCAGGACCACAGGATCACAAGTCCAGCGTGCTGTCCGCTCGGCCGACCGGCTCCCCTAGTTCATAGTTTGACTGCAAATTTTATTTAAGAGGTAATAAGTATATGAGTCAATACTCTCTGCATCAATTTCAGTCATCTTTAAGTCTACAAGAATAGCTAATAATTCAATTTGAATGGTGGATGCCCAATTATTGATTTATATATTCATCACAATTGTATTACTATTGGGCTAATGTACATGATAGCACTTCCTGTAGTGCTATCATGTTATACAAATACAATTGTACTATTCTTTGGTTACAAACTCTTTATTTATACTTCTTACTTTCCAAATATTGTTAATTGTCTCAATTACCACTACTAATTCAGTGCTTGAATTATTTAATACTGCACCAATAATCTTTCACTCTCTTAGTAATGGTATTATTATAGTGATGTTTTCATATACAATTGCATTATCATAATTGTAAGTAAGAGCATTGATTACAAAATTCCACTACAGTTGAGCAACAGTGGTCAGCAACATCTGATATGAAAGAATTCATGTCCTGTTCACACTCCGAGTTGTCAGGACTAAGTTATACTAACACATTATATGTTGATAAAATACTTTATTAGATAAATAAAAAGACACTATGTATATTTTTTTATTCATCCCCTTATAATTATAGAAATCAATAAAGTAAGATTTTGTCACATGTACAGGCAAACATTCAATATAAAATATGCAGGTTTTGGTTGTGTCACATCCCCCACCGAAGTCAAGGCACATAAAACATATGGAAGCCAAAGCAACTGCCACAACACCACACTTGTTGGTTGCAACCAAAATGGTCAGGTTCACTAAATCATCCCCCCCCCACCCCCACCCCCCCTCCCTCGTGTATAAAACAGAGAATCACCCACTCGTCATGTACAGTGCCCACGCTCCAGGTCATACACACGGTCAACGTGCTCCACGTATCCTGACTTGGCAAATGGGTAGAGTACATGGGCAAATAACAGTGATTTCATGTTTGCGATACTCTTGAAAAAAAGAAAAGATAAAATAAAAATATATTTCATACCAGTACCCTGAGATATGTAAGACATTCTTGTTTAATCATTTCCAGTCAAGATTTTACACATTTATTGGTTGCTGAATAAAGAGAATTTTGAAATCAGTTATTTTCTTTGTCTGGTAATACAAAATTAATTAAATTTCAGTTTCTGAATATATAAGCACCCCAATAACAAACTAACAATTATTAGAGTTCTTAGTGTTCCAAAGAGTACAGAAATTAAAAAATATGAACATTCTTTCAGAAAAGAATCAATGTGGATATTTCAGGTGGCAGCCGGCAGTCACTTAAAAGTTCCCCCACAGAAGAAAATAAATTAAGTACCCTTTTTTTCCTACAATGGCCCATTTTCTGTGGCCAAATTTTTATGGCAGCAACACTTGTTGGTTTACTAAACGTTCTAAAGCTTGGCATTGTCTTCTCATTGAACGATAATTTCCAATGTTCATTTATTGCTTTTTCTACACCTTCCCTTTCTCCCTCTCCTGTTTGAGTATAATTAAGTGATGCAACTTCGTTCTTCATATTTCTTCCATTATTACCAGCAACATGTGTTTCAATTTCATACTAATATTGACTAATGTTTTCATTAAATATTTCTAGTTGTTTTAGTAATTTAAACTATGTGAGGATGGCAAGTGACAAACGTTTTGGGGAAGATTACCTCTACGGTCACCCCTGAATCCCAGTTAAAACAAGGCATCAAACATATGGATAGAATACACAAAGTTACTGACATTAACAGCATAATATAAAAATTCATATAAAAATAAACTTTTTATTTTGAAGTTTTACTGTGCAAAGACATCACCCTATATAACAAACCGAACACGTGAATACTCTCCACATCTATGTACGTCTACCATAGTTTTCTACAGAGAAAATGAGAAACACCTTGACATTATAAGGCAGACAAAGGCAATGGCACACTTTTTTTTGTCATACTATATACATAGGAGCTGTGTACTTAAAACAGTACACATCAAGAATAAGTCTTCAACAATTCGATGACATTACATAACAATGAACATCTAAAAAATGTTCAAGTCTTTGGCAAGAGGGATACAGTCAGATTATTTTTATTTAAATGCAGCTCAATCCCTAAAACTGCAACAAGACTGTTCTTCATTCACACTCCATTCATCTGCATAATATTCTTCATTGTACAGTAATACCAAGCCATGTTGACCGGACTATTTCTTTTTATAACCAAACAGATTCTTCATTCACATTTGAACACTTAATGCAAGCCAAATATTCATCACTTTCAAAATTATTGCAACAGTTTTGATATCAGTACTATATAAGACACAAAATCCTTAAATGACTTGATAAAGCTTGACTTCAGATGTTTCACTCTGGAAATCGAAGGGCGCAGTGATGTTTGGGTTATGTGGAGGAACCTCTCGCGCCCATTCCTGATACCGGAATCCACACTGAAAAAGTTTTAATTGTCATATCTTATTTCATTCTACCTTTGAAGATATTAAATCAATAAAAGATCTATAAATAACCTGTTAAGATGTTCTACAACTACAATAAAAAATAATGAGCTAGGTGTAATGACATAAAATCACACTGTAATGTGTTAAAATGATTAATTTGTACTCAAATATAAATTTCCAACTCGCAGAAAACTACATCAATCAAGTGAAGCATAAAAATATGCTACCTTTACACTAAGGCTTGGTAGGTGTTACCTGATAGTGAGATAAAAAAAAAATGTGTGACAAACTGTAGTAAAGTCCCAGATCTATTTTGGAATACATTTATACATTATTTATAATACATTTCATGCAGAAGCGCACTGGGTGCATGAATGACTGGGTAGCTGCCCAGGACCCTTCGATTGCTGGGGGCTGCCATCTGGTGGCGAGTGTGGAGCTAACTAGCAGTTGGTCTGGGACATGTGTGCACTTAGTTCAAATCAAGGTTGCAAATGGTGTCCAAATTATTGCCAGTTTTAGTGCACTCCACCTTTCTGGTGAGTTTTACAGTTCTATTTTATGCCATCTGTTAAATATCTGTAGAACTGAAACTGAAATGGCCTCAACATATGCAGTGCCCATGGTCAATACAACTCTTTTTCAGCTATAGACTGTACAGTTCACCACTAACAGCCATCTTCAAGCTACAGTGCTGCAAAAATCATAGGTAAATTGCACTGTCTAAGTCAGCTTTTCTCAACCTCGGCTCTGCAGAACCTTGAGGTAACTAGGTGTTCGGCAAGACATAGATAAACGGGCTAATTCTAATCATGTGTAAATTTTTTTTTTAAATTTTTCTCATTTAATCTGCATGAAGAGCAAAGACAGAAATCATGTATTTTCAGTTATCGATGAAATCCGTGTTTTTATCTAAGGTACAACCCGGAATTATTTCAAGGGTACTCCGTAGGGGCAATATCACCCCACTGAGAATGCCTGGTCTAAATCCTTCTGCTTAGGAGGTTTCAAAGTTTTCATGTCACTTCTCTTTAGACCACTGCTCTCCATTTTATTTGCAAACTATGATCTTTACTTTTTTTTATATGTCGGAAACAGCACTAGTACAATGCCATACTTCCCTGCCAGCCACTTTCCTTCTGAACCATGATCAAGTTTTTCTAATAACTCTGCCATATTATCCAGGGTAAGGAAGTTCCTTTTTACCCTTGTCTGATGTACCAATACAACTCTTGCAGCATGACATGGCCTCACCATCTACATCTACTCTTATATCATCTACTATATTTAACCATCTGCAACAATCACACTTCATAGAAAATTAATTCCTTACATCTATATACTGCAGACAATCTTCTAAGGAGGGTATGGTTACTAGCAGAGCTCCCTTCTTTGCATTTGATCGCAGAAATGCCCAAATGCGCGCTTGAACACCAGCAGGCATGAAGAATTCAAACACATTGTTGAGACAAATTATGTCCGCAGCCCGCACTACTTCTCCTTGCTCCTGAATGTCACCAGGGATCACCTGAACACGGTCCTGAAATGAAGTTGAAATATAACCTCCCCACTCTGGTGCACAGCAAGCTGGTTTACCTCAATTGAAAATATTAAAGAAAATAAATAAATGCCAAACCAATGGTACTTTTAAAGACACTAGTACCATACTATCTAGGTTGGAATATTGCTGCATGTCAACAGCCACACTCAAAGCTGCTGAATTCTGGAGTACAAACATGTTCCTTACTGTTCAATACAAGCAAAGAAAACTCCTAGTTGGACTGGACAAAACAAGCATGAACAACTCACTCTACTATACTCAAAGTGCTGTATGGCCTCAACATCACATTAAATTAACACCGTACAGAATAGGATTTAATTTATACTAATTATGAAGTTGTTTTATATTGGTATTTCAGAAATAATATCTAATTAGAAGAGGCCAAAATGTTTGATTGCATTTATTTTTGTGTGTTTTTCCATATAAATGAGTGCCCAGGTTCAGTTTAAAAGTCCAGTGTATGTACTGTACTTTTCCAGTGTTACTTACTCCTTGATCTAAAAAGAACACTTACCTGAAACTGGTATTTATTGATGATTGTTTGTTGAACTTGGCATAAATCTTGATTAATTTCCACCCCGACTATTCTCCGGCATTTAGTGTAAATGTAAGCCTGTAGGAAATAGTATACATCTAATTGTAATATAATTAATTACAACATAATTACATCAAATAAATATTTTGGCGACATCAGATTTAAAATATAAGTCAGGGATGACGGATCATAATTTTGAGAATCAACTTTATTATTAAGCAATTAAAAAAATAGTTTCCTAGAAAAATCATAAAACTTAATCAGAAAATAGAATTAATGGCCTAGCAAATGACTTCAAATATACAGTACAAATTCAGATCCATTTTTCTTTAGGTAGTACTGGAAGTAGTTCAACACACTTGCAGTGATGTGTTTCTGCCTACAAACACAGTTGGTCTACTGCATGATCTGCTACTGTCTCGCAGTGATGTGTGTCTGCCTACACACGCACTGTTGCTCTACTGCATGATCTGCTACTGTCTCGCAGTGATGTGTGCGCGCCTACACACATACAGTTACTCTACTGCATGATCTGTTACTGTCTTGCAGTGATGAGTGTCTGCCTACACACGCACAGTTGCTCTACTGCATGATCTGTTACTGTCTCGCAGTGATGTGTGTCTGCCTACACAATCACAGTTGCTCTACTGCATGATCTGTTACTGTCTTGCAGTGATGTGTGTCTGCCTACACACGCACAGTTGCTTTACTGCATGATCTGTTACTGTCTCGCAGTGATGTGTCTGCCTACACACGCACTGTTGCTCTACTGCATGATCTGTTACTGTCTCGCAGTGATGAGTGTCTGCCTACACACACACAGTTACTCTACTGCATGATCTGTTACTGTCTCGCAGTGATGAGTGTCTGCCTACACACACACAGTTACTCTACTGCATGATCTGTTACTGTCTCGCAGTGATGAGTGTCTGCCTACACACACACAGTTGCTCTACTGCATGATCTGTTACTGTCTCGCAGTGATGAGTGTCTGCCTACACACACACAGTTGCTCTACTGCATGATCTGCTACTGTCTCGCAGTGATGTGTGTGTGCGCCTACACACTGTTCCTCTACTCCATGGTGTGCTACACTTGGTACACTTCCCCATTAACCTTTTAATGAATTCTGTTTTTACATTACTTTTGCTACCATTTCGTTCCAGTTGTGTTCTTCGGTCATTTCCCGTTTCTTGTATATTTTCTCATTTGAACAAGCTTGCTGAGGTAATCCTCATTATTTCCACGTACTCTGCTTTGTGCTGCAAGTGGCATACTATCACTTATGTGATAACCAAACCAACATATGGAATTCTTCAGTAAATATTCCTGTCCTTAAAATGTGTGCAGTAATTGAAAGCATTTGAATTGTCAGGGGAAAGACTTTACAGGATGCCATCAATTCAATGGGGCAAGGTATTTAAGATGTTACTAGACACATGTACTATATACACAAAAGCAAAATATAAAGTGATAAATATTTGGATAGGTAAAGACATGCAGTAAAGCTCCAATTAATATGAGCAGCATACTCAAACCACAACCCATCTTCAAGGGATGCAGACTTACTAAACAAGTACATGCAGTACAGTATAGCTGTACAGTATTTCCATTTACAGTACTGTATACTGATCATTATTTAGCCTGTTAAAAGTATATAGCAGAATACAGGTATAAGAAATTTTCTCTAAATGTTTATCTATTTAGAAACTTTTATCTGTATAATGCCACAAAATTACTGTTTGCTTTCTCCACCGAGAAGTAGCAGTAACATAGCAGCCAACACTTAGCATGGCTATAATAGACTCACATTAAAATTGAGAAATAAATGCTTAAGTCAACACTATGAATCTTCAATGATGTGCTTTTATGAAATTTAATAATGTAGGCAAAACAACACGCTTCATAATTACCTGTAAAAGTATATATTGTACTATTTAAAATAATATAAACGTTGTTTAACTAACATGACATTCTCTACTAACTTTTGAATTCCATTACACTCAGAATATCGTGAGTGGGTCAGTGAATATCAAAAGAATAATCCACTATATATCGTCATCTTTTAATTTAACCGGAACTCTTTTATTTTATGCTCATTTTCTTCCCCATCTCTTTACCAACAACCCAATGATGCAGAGGCTGCATATAGATACATGAAAAAAAATATTACAACTGACTCACCCCATACAATACTGCTCCTAATCTTGAGCCGATGTCAAGTAATATGGTGTCTTCGGGAATAGGTGGAAGAAGTGCACGGAAAATATAAGCTAATCTTTCTCTTGAAGCAGAGTGACTGATATATGCTGTAATGGAACAATGAAAATGGCCAGTTTTATTGGCTGTACAAAACATATTGGCACACAAAACAACTCATATTGTAACCACAAATATTTCATACAACCCATGTGAATTCATGAATATTCCCAATAGAATTACATAATACTAATCTGACAACAGAATTTTTTTTTTAATTTGATGCTCTACATGACCACGGTGGTGCTGTCATTTGAACAATAAGACCATAGTTTGGGCAGGACTCCCCATTATCACAGGTCATTTGGGAAGGCATTTATAAGCTAGTTATTTGACAAGCTAGTAACAATACTGTTATATCATGGAAAGGAAAATAACCTATTCATCCACAATAAATCATCGCAAAGCCACTTTTATTCAACAATGTTGTTCAGTCTGAAGTACAAAACTCAGGGAAAATTGTTTCAAATTAAGTTTATATTACAAAGTTAAAAATCAGCTTAAACTTTAACAAATGTTACAAAACATTTGACAGAAAACCTGTTTATTTTATTAATTTGCCACATGTAAATGGAAGGTGCTATACCTAACATAATACTGAAACCATGAAAAGTTAATTTAACCCCCAGCCACGAAAGGTTAAGATGTAGATTAATAACATTTACGAGTCTTATAGAGGATAAATGATGAATGGGGATGAAGTACAAGTACACACCAATAAAATGACAGTACTGGTATCCTCAAACTTTGTAAATGAATTTTACCAAAGACAGCCTCGGGAGAATCACTATATATTCACAAAGAGAAAGAGAAGTTGGGATATTAACAAGCACAGTGGACAAAAAGTAACTGAAAACTAATAAAACAAGAAATGTTTAAGCATGCAAAGACAAAATTGATATAGCAGATATAAGAGTCAGAGCAGGAATACCAACATAATAAGAGAGCATAGGGAGATGATGGAGTATGGAAGAACAACTATCACTGATGAACGGTAGAATTTCACCGAGAGGACTATGCCTCTCCTGCCGGGTAGTAGCAAACACTTTACTGAACTCTTGAGTATAATTACATAAACATGACTACTTTATATGATTTGAACTGAAAATGGCAAAATTACAGCATTTTAATTTTCCAATAATACTATTCGACCAAAAGCATTACCAATAAACAATAATCCTGTAATTATTTTTTGAAACAAATTAAGAAGACATTCAGATATAATAAACATAAATGAATACATGTATTAGGATGTTAAATTTTCCAAAACCCATAACAAGTACTGTACCCTTTTATTTAGACTTGTTCACAGTCTATTGCTCCACAATGACTATCAACTCTCCTTTTTTACTCCTCGGCCAACTTTTTTTCTCGGGTTACTGTATATTCTTTGCTATTCTGTATTCTGCAGTTACTGTATATTCTTTGCGCTATATTATATAGCGCGCAGGACTCGTAATTCTGTGGCGCGGGTTCGATTCCCGCACGAGGCGGAAACAAATGGGCAAAAGTTTCTTTCACCCTGAATGCCCCTGTTACCTAGCAGTAAATAGGTACCTGGGTGTTAGTCAGCTGTCACGGGCTGCTTCCTGGGGGTGGAGGCCTGGTCGAGGACCGGGCCGCGGGGACACTAAAGCCCCGAAATCAACTCAAGATAACCTCAAGATAACTCAAGTATCACTCAATCTATTCTTATACAACATAATCATGTGAATAAACAAACCCATAATATAGCATTCATATCAAATGACTTCAGTAATCCTCCCCCTCTTAACAACCTCTCTAATATCAGTACAGTACTTGTATTCACTCGCCAATAAATTACATAAAAATTGGTCAGCAGCATACTGATTAAATTGACAAGCAACCTTTTATAACTCATCTATGGAAGCTGATGTTCCCCTATAGATTTATAGGGTAAGAAAGCTTCATGACTAAGTTTTGATAATTTTCTGTATGATATCTTATTGATGAAATCACTCAAATATTGCAAAAAGATTTAAAATATCAAAATACATATGCAATAACCAATCAAAGTGTGTTTGTTCAATGAAAAAAAACACAAAGTTGCTAGCCAATACCAAGACTCATAAATAAAAAGTATGCACAGATTAAATTTATATTTAACTCACTAATGGGTTGCGTATTATGTGATGAACAATCAACACAATAGTTGCGTGCCAGCTCTCCAGTGTCACACAACTCGTCGACCATGTCCTCATCATAAAGAAAGGCATCAACATGTAGGGTATGAGTTGGGTCACAATCTGCATTCTGGAACAAAAAAACCAGCGTTGAATGGAATGAAACACCATTTTCTAGGCAAGTCCCAGAGCTTACCGAGCTGATATGCAAGTATTAGACCGTGGCAACAATTCTTCAAATGGAGTTCTAATGCCTACTGGGGACCACGAGCCAGAACCTGGCCCCCCTCACCAGGATCAATAGCCTATAGAAACTTCCATGTGGTTAGAAGCATTCTATGTCTGCCATCGGCCAGGTTAGGCCCCCAGAAAGGTAGGCGTCCCAAAACAGACCCCAACTGGTAAAACATTGCTACTAAAAGCCGAACTGCTAAGCAGAACTCCCCAGTCTGAAAACAAGCAAACAAGCATGATGTCACATCTGTCACTGCACCGCCTGTCTGCACAGCTCTCTCCTCCCTGGGAGGGGGAAAGGGGGGGGGGGTGGCAGACCCCTGATATGAAATTGCATATCAGCCAGGTAAGCTCTGGGGAGACGGAGGGGCTCTCCACAGAAATTGACTTAAATAGGCAAAGAGCAAGTAGTTTCCTGCACCACAACAATCAATTTAATCTGACTGTATAGTTGTAGATACAAGATAAACACTTGACAGATGGTAGGAACTAAGACTTACAAATATATCTATTATAACAAATTTAAATGGATTATTAATTTAGCTGTTCATACAAAATAACTAAATTAAAATTCCAGCACTCAAAAACACAAAACAGATAAACATCCTCATGCACATACAATACTGCTTTGTAAATATATATATCCACATAAAGCTCTATCTTTTTTTATAACACACAAAAATCAAACAATTTACTTTTATAAACACCAAATCCCTAGACAAATAATCTTAAAAAATTTCATCCAAATGTACCTTCCATGCCAGAGAGATGCACAAGCGTGCTCAGACTCTCATGCGAAAAGCTGGAACTGCAATTTTTCTATATAGCTATCTGTAGCACTTGATAATTTTTGCATCCCCAATACCAATACAATATCTCACTTCTTATTAGTGCCAAATGTGGTAACTAGAAGGTAAGGATGCACACACTGTCTAATCATTTAACAAATGTTTAGTAATGTACTGTTGTAGTGCATTTGATAAATTATAGTATTAAACCTGTAGTGTACAGTACTATAATCAAAACATATAGGTACGGAATATTATACAAGAAACATTACTAAAAATGCTATTGTAGTACCTAGGGATCATATCTTTAAATTGCCAATGTTTACATCTTATTTGGTAAAATTTAGCTCATCTCTGAATCTTCTCCAAGTCCCAAATACACCTGTGATAATCTACAGCTTAATATTAACTTTCATTAAATTACCCGAAAACTAATGCACATTATTCGGAGAAATGAGGTACAGTACTGTAACTTCTGAATCTCAAGCCCTCATTTCCAGCTATTACTCTCCTAATGTCTTCAGACACTTCTTTGTGATAAAAGAACAAAAGTCAGGTGTATTGTCTTACTGTACCTCTCCTACAGAAGGGAAGGTGATCTGTTCAGTTGGCAAAATGGCATTAAGTGGCATGATTTCACGGAGGTCGTCGGCAATCTTTCGTAGTTTGGTGTCTCCTGAACTGTAATCCGAGGTACATGCAGGTGCCAATGGTGGTGGTGGACATGGTGGGGGACATACCATCAAGGTAGGGGCAACTGTGAAGAAATAAAATTATGCAGAAATAAAAAAAAAAAAAAAATAAGATTTGGAAGAAAGTGAATGCAGTATGATGAAAAATTGAAAAATACGAACAAATAAATAAATAGGGATACAGGTATTAAAATTAAACAAAATTTAAGTCCTTCTTACTTTCCAAAATGTAATACCCATGGGGTGTGTAAAGCATTCATGGAACAGTAAACAGCTTAATGTATAACTTACTAAATGACCCATAGTGAATGACCCTGTGACCGGCCCGTGGGGATGCTAGGTCCCGAAATCATCTCAAGGTAGTGTCTAGTTACTGTTTCACACCTTTATTTATTGTGTAACTAGTGAAGATTTACAATATTATGGTTAGCACAATTAAATACTGTCAATTTAATAGGGGGTGGCATGCATACTATATTACATTATTTTGAACAATTATGCGGGAAAGCTGCAGGTCTGGTTATGAATGGAATATGCAGAAATAAATAAATGTTAGAATAAAGGAATGGGGATTGTGAGGTGTGACGATATTCACGCTATATGTGGAGTAAGGTGTGACAATATCCACGCCATATGTGGAGTGAGGTGTGACGATATTCACGCTATATGTGGAGTAAGGTGTGACAATATCCACGCCATATGTGGAGTGAGGTGTGACGATATCCACGCCATCTGTTCTGTTCTGGCCAAGTTCTGTTAAATGCTATGCAAAGTTTTTATGTTGGAACCAGTGCATGTGTAAGAGCTATAGTATAATTAGTGATCAATTCAGAATTGCAAATGCACAAGAGGGTTGTGAGACATCACTTTGGCTAATTAATACCGTATCTACATGAATGAGGTCACCCAACTATAAATGTGCAAACAGTTATGAATAAAACATTTGAATTTGACAAGGGAGGTCAATGTGAAAATATTAGAAAGTAGTGTAAAATCCATTATGAGCAACTGTAGCAAATACAATTTTATGTATGCAGGGGATTGTTCTTTTAGTAGTGACAAAGAGCTATGCATCTAGATGGATATTTTATTAATGAGAGGACTGGCATAATTAACGATGAGGAAAGAAGGAAGCTATTGGAAAAATAAATGTGAATGATGGAGTGCCGGATTTAAATTATTCTACTACTGCAGCTTATCCCAAGGCCAGGCTTTTCTGGTGATGACAATTGGTCTAATATCACTACCAATCTGATCTAGCCCTTCATGCAAGAACCTGTCTAATTCACTCTTGAAAACTTAAATCTTGAGAAAATTTTTGAAACAGGATGGTGGTACTGTATTGTGATTTCACTGTGTATGTCAACCATTGTTTCAGCAATATTCCACATTTGCTGGAAAATGCTCAACAGGGAAGAGGGAGCGAGTGGGGTGGACAAACAGAAGGGTGAATGGGGCAGGCAGATGGGAGTGTGGCAGAGGCGAAGGGAATATGGGTGGATATTTGGATGTGGATAGGGTGGTAATGTCAATGGATACATACTGTTGTTGGTGATGATCTGATGAGGTTGAGATTTCAATGAGTGTGGATATTTGGTGTGGGAATACAGTGTTCAGGAAGGAGCAGGGGTTGAGTGGGCATATAGCTAGTGGTGGTATATTGCAGGTAGGGATGAGGGTGTGGTTGGTATATAGTTGGTAGGCAGACACTGATAACAATATTGCAGGTAGGGATGAGGGTGTGGTTGGTATATAGTTGGTAGGCAGACACCGATAACAATATTGCAGGTAGGGATGAGGGTGTGGTTGGTATATAGTTGGTAAGCAGACACTGATAACAGGTGTTTGAGGGTGAAGGTAGAAATGAAAGGAAGGGAAGGGAAAGGAATGTGGAAGGGTGGTGAAGATATTGTAACAGAGGGGGAAGGTTAGGGGAGGGGGGGGGGAACATTGGGGTGAGGCAAAGGGATGCTGGTGGTAGGTGTGTAGCTAGGGGTTGGCAGCCTCATTATAGATAAAACTATCTGGCCTTGTTCCTGTGCAATACAAAAATATATATATTGACACCAAAAGCAATATCCATAATTATATTTTCATTTGGCTTAGGAACAGTACAGTAAATCTATATATTGTGGCAAAGCCGACATGTGGCCAATTACTAAAACAAGAATATAATAGTGAGTTACATATGCTTCTTACAAAATGAACACAAAATATGTTATTGTACAATGAGGAATATTATAAGATGTACTGTACAGTACATTAAAAGCAGTAATTGCTAATGGGCTACACTAACCAATAATGAAAGCTAAATGTTTTAATCATACACTTAAGCTTAAAAGCCAATGCCATCAGTACCTGATCTGCACAAGTTAAAAGCACACAAATTCAGATATATGCAAATTTATTTTTAAGACCAAGGCTCTGAGTGCGCCGCAACAAATTTGGCAGTGCGTGAATTATTCAAGAGTGCACGAATGCTGCTTTAGCCATATGAGAGTTGTTCCAGGCGCCTGATCTGTCGGTTTGGCGCGCAGCTTGTCTCGCCACTCTTGTTTTCCTCCCACCTCTCCTCCAAGTTGTGCCACACGTTCAAGCACCACATTTATAACCAACAATGCCTCCAAAATATCTTGAGTTTTATGAACTTTTGCATTACATTACTGTGTCATGCAATTTTTTAGTAACCAATAATCTGTATTATTAAATTTATTAGTTACAGTATTTAGTTATATACAATAGTTGTTCATTTAATAAACATCTTTGAATAATCTTCATGACTAGGCCATGATTGTAACTATAGATTAGGAAATTTCTACACATGTCTTCTAAACAAATACAGTATATACAAATTTACTCAATAAGGTAAACTATGATTCAAGATAAACATTTGCCAAATATCAAGACTACATAAAATGTAATGCCATCCAGTAAAGTTAAAGGGAACCAGAATACTGTAGTGACTTAGGTTGTGTCAATGTAAAGCATTAACATGTGTGCACTTTTAACATGTACAGTACAATATAGTAAATGTACAATCATGGTCATATTATTATTTACTTTTCTGTCATGATGTTGCCTTCTGAATTTTCATGTTTAGGCCTCATTTTCATAAATAAATTTATTTTCTCATTACTGTATCTTGTTAAGGTAATGGATGTACAGTACTGTATTATTCATCTATATTTTGATTTTGAATATTCTTCCTCTATTTACTACATTGTCTTTTCTTATAATTTAGATTTTTCAAAAGCTGCTAATGCTTTAGTTTTCCTGACATTAAAACTGAACAGTGTACTGTATTTTGTATATTAATGATGTTTTCAATAATTTATATCATTCTGAAAATATAAGAGATAAAAGGGGATCTGATAATGCTGTACTATACGTTAAAACTAGGTATTCAATCAATTATTTCAAATTATCTTTATGAGTTACAGTATCGTACCTTCATTAACCCTTAAAGGACTCGGCTAATTAAAATTAATACAGTACAGTACATCATAGTGCACACGAGAAAAAATTATTCACAAAACTAATGTCAAAAAATTTTCATTTGATAATATGAGCACAGGAAGTAACCACAAATAGCAACTGGAGTTGCTTAAGAGTTGAACTCCTGCAAACGGGACAAAAACTGTGGCTGGCAATAATTACCTCCTCTAATCCAAGTGTCGTCAACCCACGCTAGGAAGGCTTTTCTCGTCTCGGGTTGAGGGATCTGCTGCAGCACAGCCAGGAAGGCCTCCTGTGCCCCCTTCAGGTCCATACTCCACCTGTAAGATAATACCTGGGTGAGTTCACTACCAAGCTTAACAAAACTAAATCATTTAATAATACATAACATTTATGAGACCCTGGTTTAATAACATTTTACCATAAATAAATTATTAAATGCCTGGAAACTATTGTAGGAATGCAGGTACTATACTGTGCTCATCTACTCAAGTTTAAGCTTTATAATAAAGATTAAGCTTGCTATAAATAAATACATTAGCATACCAGATAATTTACCTAACTTACGAGCACAACATTATTTTGCAGTTGATGATGCGCGCAGCAATATGTTGAACACATTGGGTCTGACTCGTAACTGGTTGGGTGATCATGCAGAGCCTTGCTCTTTGGCTTGGGAATACCTCTCTAAGCCTAGTAGACATCACAACCTTACAGGTACAGTAATGTATAAAAAAAAAAAAAGACGAAACACTACACTTATTTGTAAATATTCCCTACAATGATACAGTATAAAATGTACATAGTGTACTACCGTCAATAACCATGAAAAATGTAAGACTATCATGGGTATAATGTGACCATTTTGAGACCAGGTTTTCAACCTATGTGCTTTTCAGAGGGCTGAAGCAAAGTTTAAAAAAAATCAAGACAGACCACGTCATACTTGTGATAAGAGAACTGTACACACCGATATTAACAACCTGAACACTAAAATTAGGTTTAATAATACAGTATAAATAAAGCTCAAATAAAAGACACACAAACTTCGAGAATTGTACAGTACTTCAAGATGAATCCTTACGTAACCTAAGGCTCGTGAATATGTTGAAAAGGGGCTGATAATACACAATGTTTTTCGATAAGTCACAGGATATATGGGGCACTGAACTATTTGGATACACTAAGATAATGGGGCACTACATTATCAGCAAAGATTTCATATCTCAAAGCTGAAGGTACAGGACTTAATGGTCCAGGATGGAACAAAATGCCATCTGCAATCCTTCATGTAGAATAGGGTAGCAAAGTGTAAATAAAAAACTAGTTATAACGTCATCTAATATTTCCCTTTTTGCAAGATGGTTAGTTATACTGTACATGGAAACAGGTGAGAACATGAAATGCAAGGCTGAGATCTATTAGCCTGCACTAGCAACATATGGCTACAGCACAAGAACAATGCAGTGTATACCTAAGCTTGTTAATAAAAAAAAAAATACTCTAATTCAGATTTGAGAGTTACCTGATATCTAGTTTATTTAAACAATTATATTATTCCAACATTACTAACATAATATTAAGAAATAACATTTCTGTTGAGTTTTATTTCATAATTATATCATTGTGATAACAGACATAAAAGCTGCCCATATAGAAGAAGTTTGCCAAAAAAATATATTTCACATAAAATGTAACCTCCATTATAAACAAATTTTGACAAGAATATCACTCGTAAAACGTCATACTTTGAACTCCACTAGACTCCCGGCCGCTATTTACCCCTTTGCCCATATACATAATTCACAAACCCCCCCAAAAAAGGCCCTTAACTGGCCTTTTTAACTGGGCAGGAGCCCAGATACCCGGCAGGACAGGCCGGCTCAGCGGGTCCTGCTCCACGCGGCCGCCCAGCTGATGTATGTAAACACTGAGTCACGTGACATACAATAAGCGCATGTATACATATATACCTTCATACATGGGGTTTATTCAGGATATATATATATATATTGTATACCCCCTGAATTGTTTAAGAGTCATAGTACAGCACTGTAATATTTTTATATGGCCATGAGTCACGTACAGTGTTTCGGGCAATATCTATTACTTTTGCAATTGACATTGGGTTTTCTCCTTACTGGAGTATGTTGTACTTTTTATAATTAATAATAATAGTAATTCATTTTCTCGAGGACAGGCAGCTTGTATATATACACAAGCTGTCTGTCCAAGCTATATAAGCCGTATAGCTATATACCAATACATAGTACCAATACATAGCATAGTACATCTGTACTATGCTATGTATTCTCACAAACCCAATGTACCTTCTTGTATATAAATAAATAATAAATAAATAAATAAATATAAGTTACGCGGCTTATATAGCTGAAAACAACATTATATGGGGTCCAGTCCACAACCCATTATGGCGAGCTTCAGCCTCCGGGCCCCGCCTTTACAACTGTCAGCCGTCAACAACAGTATAACTCCAGAGTCCCATTGTGTCTTGTAATATCTGTGTTACACCAATGCCGGGAGTGTCACAAGGAGGTAACGGGGGCGGCATATTGTTCCTGGCATAATAAGTTACAACCGGTCCTTACAGCAAGATAAGGGGGGGGGGGGCCCTCGATTGTATAATAGCGGCCCTCTCGAATAGCAAGTCGCATTTTGACGTTTAAATCCCCTACGGCCACAATATGATGTACTATAAACCACGCCGGCTTGCCAAAAGTGACAGGCTATCCCATTTTCTATTCGTGGGTCGTCGGATAGGCTAGGTTCGGGTAATTAAGTACGTCGTTTTTATGACGTTGTGGTAACTATAGAGACTTCGGGCTGCCAAATCCCCCACAAAGCCAGAATGAGGACCAGAGTTGTTATAGATTCAGCTACTCGGAACAAGTTCCAAGTAGCACGGGCTATGGTGAGCCCGTAACTTACCTGGCACAGGAGCGGGGCAAGTAGCACGGGCTATGGAGAGCCCGTAGTGGACTTACTCGGCAAAGGAGCGGTGCTGAATGAATCGTGAGGTCCAGAGGCACAAGCACATTGCCTTTGAGCATGTCGTGATGTGGAAGTGTGGGGTGCGGGCTTGGGAGTACCAATTGTGTCGGGTTCGAATCCTCCTTATGGCTCCTACTGATTTTCTCTTTGCCAGAGGCACAATTTACAGATATTTATATCAATTCTTGATTTTGGTATAGGGTTCATTAATACTAATTAAACTGAACTAATTAACTTGGCCTAATGAATACGAGAGAAGCATCGCGCAAGACTTCATGAGGAGACCATGAGGCTAAAGTGGCGAAGAAACAATCTCGGAAAACTATAATGGTTAGAAAAATGCAGCTTTTTTTTTAACACCGAGTTCTCTCTAAATGTTTATATAAGGTATACTGATTATACCTTTGACTCTTCATCTGCAGCACTAATTAAATAACTAAATGTATATTGCTTATGCCTCCAAAGTATAGAAAGAACCTATTATTCCCTGTCCAATCTTCCATTAGATGTCTTCCCTAAGGTGCCTAAAGCAAAGGTGAAACAAAGTTTCAGGGCAATAATAACCATTTTCTATACTGCAGAGGTACTCCTTGTTCTAACACCATAAAGGACCAGGTGGCGCAGTGGTAACACACTTGCCCTGCATCCCACACTTCGCCAGCGATTTGGCTCAGGTTCTTATCCTGGTCGGGGAGGATTGACTAGGTGCCAATCCTAAACTGTACGCCTCTGTTTGGGTACGCTCGTTTGTTATAAACTATTATAATATATGCGAACAAGCCTGAATGGTCCCCAGGACAATATGCAACTGAAAACTCACACCCCAGAAGTGACTCGAACCCATACTCCCAGGAGCAACGCAACTGGTATGTACAAGACGCCTTAATCCACTTGACCATCACGACCGGTTAATGAGGTGATAGCCGAGGCTATTTGAACCACCACACCGCCGGCACTCGGATAGTAATCTTGGGCATAGCATTTTACCAAATCACCTCATTCTTTGGGGCACACGTGAGGAACACAAATGCGAACAAGCCTGAATGGTCCCCAGGACATTATTATAATATATATTATATATATATATATATATATATATATATATATATATATATATATATATAGTACGCTGGTTTGTTATATATACGATTGGTAGGTCGTATTCCAGGGAAACTAGTGTGTAAAGCTAGTCATCAGCTAACGAATGAAAAAAAATTCATAGCCTGCTAACAAGGGTCAGCAGTCGTCTGTCCCTGTACTTTTAAATACAGTTTAACAAATTATAGATACAAAAATATTCAGAAAATTGCTGAGGATGTATATACACAGACAATTAGTGTCAGACTAAACAATTGACCAAGCTCCACACATACAGATAACTGCACTACAGCTGACTACTAATGAGCGACATATACAAGCAGAGTAATGATGACCAAAGCACACATCATCCCCTGCAAGCAGAGTAATTATTTATTTTCTGCGAATTAAAATAAACTCTTGAAGCCCTTGAAACCTCAACCTGAAGCCTCAACAAGGCATTTGAATTGCATGTAACAAACATGAAATTAAACTGGGTCCAAGTATTCCAATATCAACTATCAAAACCACACTACAAGAAACTAGGGCAACGGAGTTTCAACATGGCATCCAAATTAATTAATTAAGTAAGCCAAGCCGTAACTTGGTGGCGCCTCTCAGTCTCCTTTTTGTCGCTGGGACTGTCATGCGTCAGAGTGCGTTTGCGTGCGTCAGAGGGCGTTTGTGTGTATATACCTTAATTAACACTATTTACCCAAATTATTGCAGTTTAAATATGATATATTGTAAATCGAATACATTCTCTGACATTAAAAATCACTATAATACAGTGATTATGTACGAAACATGAACATTGGTTTACACACAGAGTTGAAGTTGAATGTTGACATTTTTACAAGCTAAGATTTAGCCTGGCGAGGCTGGGCACAGTTTGGGCTCCGTTTTTGTTCCTTTCAGTTATCCTGACCTTGGCTCCCAGCACCCAGCACCCAGGAGGACTAGCAGGGAGTGCCTGCTGGCCCTGTGGCTCATGTCGTTCCTGCTCTTGGTAAGTGGGACTCGTAATTTTGCATCATATTCCTCCCATGGTCGACTTTCCCGCGGGAATATTTTATTATTTTGTATTTTGATTTAGTTCCCGGGAAATTTTTGTGTACTGTTGTGTTCCGTATGGAGGTGGAATTTCATTACCTTTGTGACCGTTCTGTGTATATTTTCTTTTGTATTTACGTGACTTGTTGTATTTTCTGTATGCTACCCCCATGGGCAT